AGCTGTCAACCACTTGAGATGACAGTTCTCAGCTGCTGCAAATTAATCACTTCGGCCGGCCTAAGCAACAGTTCTGAGAACAAGCCAGCAGGTGGGGGCGATGACTTCGATAGTCAAGAAAGCCAACACTTAGGCAGAAAAACTGTCTTAAAAGAGACCAGTTTCTTGACATAGAGTTAGAAGGGATCTTAGAGGTCACCTACTCCAACCCGCCTTCTCAGTGCAGGAATTAGTCAACTACAGCACCGCACTCTGCCTAAAGGAGCACACACCTTTTAAAAATGTTTTTAAATGATTGAAAAAAGCATTTAAAGGATAAATTCTTGTGGGGGGCAGTGCCTTTAAAAAGGGGGCAGAGCCCCCAAAAGCCCCACCATAGCTACGGACCAACTTGTGGGGCTGAGAGAGTTCTGAGAGAACTGTGACTGCCCAAAGGACCCCTAGACGGCTTCATGTGGAGGAGGAGTGGGGAATCAAACCCGGCAGTCCAGATTAGAGTCTGCTGCTCCTAACCACTACACCATCCTGGCCATATCCTACAAAACACAGAGGCGGACTGCCATTTGTCGCTGAATGTCCGCTTAGTCGGGGGCTGCAGCCAATCCCAGCTCCCCAGCAAGTGTAGATTATGGGAGACCTGTGGGGAGGGATATGGAAGGCCACGAGGACATTGCATCACTTCCAGAACAGACATGGGTAACTCTAGGAATTGCCAGAAACTCTATGGTTTGGGTGGCGGTCGAAAGCGCCGTCAAGTCACAGCTGGTTTATGGCGCCCTCTGGTGGGGTTTTCAAGGCAAGAGACATTCAGAGGTGGTTTGCCATTGCCTGACTCTGCGTAGCAACCCTGACAGTCCGTGGAGGCCTCCCATCCAAATACTAGTCAGGGGGCCAAAGCTGCTTAGCTTCCGGGATCTGATGAGATCAGACTAGACTCAGCTATCCAGGTCAGGACCTGTGGTTTTGGAGGAGAATATTTCTCCTGCAAATCCATCCAGACGCAGAATGAGACAATAGGTACACAATTCAGCTTTCCGAGGATCTCAGTTGTCACACCTGTCGAGGAAGGAATGATCGATTGAGTGCAAACAGAATACACTGGGTGGGGGGGGGAGATACGCAACTTTGCCCTGCACAATTTATGCACAGAATTCATCAGATTAAACAGAAAGTTATGTTTCTCCCATGTAGCATGTTCCCTCTAAGCTGTGGGGTCTTGTGAGCAAAAATTCTCCTTTGTGAGCGCCTGGCATTAAAGTTGTGAGCAAGCGATTTGGCTACTGCATAAATTAGTGTGCTCTGGAGCCACCCTTCGCGAGCCAAGACAAAACTGTGTGAGCCAGAGGCTAAAAAACTATGAGCAGGCTCACACTAACTCAGCTTAGAGGAAACACTGGTCAAGGGCTCTTGTTTTTCTTAATAACAGATGGGTTCAGTGCTTTGCTCAAATGGTCTATAAGAATCTGTTATACTTAAACGACAAAAACTCTCATGGAAACCTGTAGTGCAATTGTTATTCTTAGGTTATGTTCAACACACTTGGGGTTGAGTGGGCGATTTAAACCCCCTACATTTATCCAGATATTGGTCCGTGGTTTTATGTGGAAAATGAATGTGCACTGGCTCTTACTTAAAAAGAGATGGAAATAAACGCACTGTAATACAAGAAAAAAAAACTGTGTCAAAAACCCGCTAGGAATGACCAAAAGGAACAATGTCCGTAATATCAGTATTCAAACTACAATCAAATTTAGTATAGATAAACAACAGGTAAGTAGTAAGCAAGACATTCAACCCGTCGAATGGTAGTTATATTGTTGCTGTAAGTACTTACTTGTTGAATGCCAATTGTACCTATTGCTGAAAACATTGATATTTATACTTATTATTGAAAGCAATTCAACTTATATTGTCTTTACCTGTTGTATGTTTTGCTTACTACCTACCTGTTGGATTTTTGTTGTTCAGTCGCACAGTCAACTCTTCGCGACCCCATGGACCAGATCATGCCAGGCCTTCCGGTCTTCCGCCGTCCTTTGAAGTTGGCTCAACTTCATGTTCGTTGCATCGATGACACCGTCTAACCATCTCATCCTTTGCCGTCCCCATCTTCTTTGACCTTCAATCTTTCCCAGCATCAGGGTCTTCTCCAGTGAGTGCTCCCTTCTCATTTGGTGGCCAAAGTATTTGAGCTTCAGTTTCATTATCTGGCCTTCCAGGGAACAGTCAGGTTTGATTTCTTTTAGGATTGACTGATTTGATCTGTTGGATATCTGTACTAAATTTGTTTGTAGTTTGAATACTGATATTACAGACATTGTTCCTTTTGGTCATTCTTCGCGTTTTTTACACAGGTTTTTTTTTGTATTGCTTGAGTCTTACTGTGTAATCGCTTTGTGGTCACTAACAAATGCACCGTAACATATAACCCCCTTGATATCCTGATGAATTGTAATACTGTTGTTTTTAATCTGGTTTTAACTGTGTTGCTACCCACCCTGAGCCCACCCTCAAGGAGAGCTAAGAGAAAAATGTGTGAGTCGGAGGCTAAAAAACTGTGAGCTAGCTCACACTAACTCAGGTTAGAGGAAACACTGGTGTGGACCTGCCTCCGCGCCATCCCTGAGCCGTCTGCACGGTACAAACATGCAGTTTTGTGTGTGTGTGTTTGTTTTTGAGCAGGTTATATTTAAAGCACAGCTTCAGTTAACCCAGACTTTACCAAGTCGATTCCAGTGATACACGAGAAGCCAGCTTGCGCAACACCAGAGGCATGACCGGCAAGACATGGAACGACTTGCGCAATACGGCCCCTTCTCCACAAGATGTAACTGTCCAGTTCACAGAAGAGGAACTCCAATCTTGTCTTGAGCTGATAGCTCCCACAAAGAACCGCTTATGTTTAAATGAAAAGTGCTTGCGTGAGCAGGGTCTTTTTGTTGTTCTATTTTTGCGGAGGTCGACGGCCAGCACTTTTCCTACACTGAGACGGTTAGAAAACGGCAAGGCCTTCTTGGATGACAAGAATTCCTCGGTGCATGTCTACGAGTAGCTAGCAGGCCAATTCACATGAGAGTTTATCCCACAGGTGGGATGGAGATTTCAACTTGGGGGGTGAGAGTTGAAAGGTTCTCCATGGAGACATGGATTGTGTCTAGCGGAGTTGTTCCCCTCAGCCTGTCTGAAGATGGGGAGAGACTGTGGAGATATGGAACCGTCTCAGGAGCCCTGGGGTCCTCTCTTCATATCCTATATGGCCAGGGTCCGACATACCTGAGGGACCGCCTTTCCTCATACATACCCCAGAGAGCACTACGGTCGGGGTCTCAAAATCGATTGACTGGGCCCCAAGGATGCCAGGCTGGCTACCCCCAGAGCCAAGGCCTTTTCAGTGGCGATTCCATACTGGTGGAATGAGCTCCCGGAAGAGATCAGGGCCCTGCGGGACCTTGCACAGTTCTGCAGGGCCTGCAAGACGGAGCTCTTCTGCCAGGCTTTCCACTAGGAGCCGCCCCCACTATCACCACCAACTCTCAGCTGTGATGCCGGCCTGGGTGAAGGACATTGAGAAACTGGAAAACTTACCAAAAAGTACACTGTCTCGTATAATTAGCGAAACATCAACAGCACTTATTACTGTTATTAGGTAAAGGTAAAGGTTCCCTTGCTCGAAAGCCAGTCGAATCCGACTCTAGGGTTGCGGTGCTCATCTCCATTTCAAAGCCGAAGAGCCAGCGCTGTCCGAAGACGTTTCCGTGGTCATGTGGCCGTGGTCATGTGGCTGTTACCTTCCCACCGAAGTGGTACCTATTTATCTACTTGCAATTTTCGAACTGCTAGGTTGGCAGGAGCTGGAACTAGAGACGGGAGCTCACTCCGTCATGCAGCAACGCGGGTCTATTACTGTTATTACTGAAATTGAATTGTTTCATGTTGATTTTATCAGATTTTAATTGCTATCTATATATTATGTAATATGTTTTAATGAATGTAAGCTGCCCTAAGGCTGCTTTGCGGGGAGGGTGGGGTATAAACTGAATAACAAGATAAAATAAAAATAAATACCAGTTTTCAGGGGGAAAGCTCGATCTATCTAGTACACTTTTATCCCATCCTTCCTTCAAGGAGCTCAACGTCTTGTAGACAGTCTCCCCTTCTTCAGCTGACCTTCACCACAACCTTGTGAAGTCGTGAGACCGAGAGAGTGTGACTGGTCGTGGTCATTTACCAATCTTCCTGGATGAGTCGGGATTTGAATTTTGGTCTCCCAAGCCCTAGTTAGACACCTGTCATGATCTGAGCTGTGCCACCAGAGGCCTACTAGGCCCAAGGAGCCTGGCTAGCAGTAGGTGAGGCTGGGCCTACAACTCCCAGAAGCCCCTGAGAGGTTTAGGAACCAAAATTGACCAATAGGAAAAGAGGAGGGCTTGGAATAAAAGACCTGGAGCAGCAGGAAAAGCTGTTCTTCTTCCCAGAGAGCAGAGCCAGAAGGCAGGCTGCTGCAGGGAAGAGACCCTCATCCTGAGGGAAGGGTGAGTAGTCTAGAGTTACTTGGAATAGTGAGATAGGGACAGTATATATTTAGACGCGGTAGGGGATTTGATTTATTTTATTTTCACCCACTTATTGTTATAATTCTGCACCTTGTTGTTTGACCTCCTATACAATAAACTATTTTCATTGTTCACTCTGCCTGGTCCTCATGGCTATTATTCGGCCAAAAGGGAGGTCTGAAGGTCTTGGGAGGGTGCTCTGGGCCTTCTCAAGGGATCCTAAATCCAGAGTGGTGGCAGCATCAGGTGACACCCCACCTGAGCCGTGACAACACCCTAACCGGTAACCCCCCCACCTGTATACCCAGAGTCAGAGGGCAGCCCGCCACAGGTACCCTCACCGCTGAAGTAGCCCAGGGTCCCTTGAAAACAAATTCCTACGGAGTCTGTGGTCAGTCCTAAGAGGGGACACATGCACACATATGAACATAGGAGCTTGCCGAAAACATGGGCCGTGGAGGATTTGGAAACAACGTGTGTCTTGTCTACGTGCAATTTGCCTCCACCCGCACAGGTAAGTATCAATGTTATCTGTATTCCAGTACAAACTGGGAGCCAGTTTGGTGTAGTGGTTAGGAGCGCGGACTCTAATCTGGGGGGACCGGGTTTGATACCCCACTCCTCCACAGGCAGCTGCTGGTGTGATCTTGGGTCAGTCATGAGTTCTTTCAGAGCTGTTCTCTCAAGGGCAGTTCTTGAGAGAGCTCTCTCAGGCCCACCTACCTTATAAGGTGCTCTGAGACTCCTTTGGGTAGTGAAGGGCAGGCTATTAGCCACAAGGTGTAGATAGGAACTCTCAGGCTGGGGCAAGTGATGCTCTGTATTCTTGGTGGTTGGGGGGTGGCAACAGTGAAAGGGCTTCTGGTGTCCTGGCCCCACTGGTGGACCTCCTGATGGCACCTGGTATTTTTGGCCACTGTGTGACACAGAGTGTTGTACTAGATGAGCCATTCGCCTGATCCAACATTGGCTTCTCTTATGTTCTTATAAATCCAATCTCTTCTTTTTCTCTTCAGGTCCACAATATGGAGATCTTCTTTCTGTAGAAAAGCACCTTTTGTCTCATAAAAGCACCTTTTGTCACGTAAATACATTTCTGTACAAGAACAGCTACATCTGTCATTTATTACTTCCATCCTGGGTCTCACTTCTTTTTAAATGTAAACATTTCTCTGGGGAACCAATTTCCGGTCCTCTTCCTGTTCAATTCTCCCAGGTTACCAAAAGCTATTAACGTTGAAGTTATCAGACAGTATCAACCATTGACGTTCCAAGTATCTTCCAGGATATACCCAATAGGGTGCCATCACACCTTTTGTTTAAGTTATGGGAAACCCATAATCAAAGATCGGAAACCTTTTGGTTCCTTTGTTCAAACCCATAGCTCTGCGCCCCAGGATACCTTCTATCTCTCCTTTATTATAAAGGAGTTTTGGGTGCCAGAATTCTAAAATGCGCCCCGTTAGTGTATGGGCGGAAAATATGCCACTCAGAAGAGCTGCCTCCAATGACTGGCTCCCTCAGCCAACCTGCCCTGCCATTGGCTGGGTGGCTGGGAGGGGAGGGACCCAGTCATCGGAGCCAGCGTCTTCTGAGCGGCCATCTTCCCCACATACACTAAGGTACGCTTTCAGCCCAGCGGCGAACGGAGCCGATAGGCTCCGTCCGCCGGCTTCCCCCCCTCCAGCCCCCATCCTGCCCAGCGAACGGGCCCTGCAC